ACCAGTCAGTCGGATGGAACGTCAGCGCACATTTATGACAAATCGGCTATAAACTGAATGTTAATATTGGTAAGTGTCAGTTTGTCGATATTTGAATGTAATTGAGTGATTGTGAATCATTTTGAAATTATTTGGTGACACTTTGAAGTCATCTTCGATCATTTTGAATTACCCTCGCCAAAATACAGCTGGTATTTTAATACACTGACCATGTAGTCTCTCTCTCTCTCTCTCTCTCTCTCTCTCTCTCTCTCTCTCTCTCTCTCTCTCTCTCTCTCTCGGCTCTCTCTCTCTCACTCTCTCTCTCTCTCTCTCTCTATATATATATATATATATATATATATAATTGGAGTATATTTGTTTACGAGTTGCTGATTTTGTGAACAAGCACTTTCCTTTCAGTTCATCTGTAAATGTTTGACTTAACTGTTACATGTGTTTTGAACATTAATTATAATAACAATGCTTTATATAATACTTATTACATTAAGCGTTGCAACTGATACGCCAAAGATAAGATTTTTTTACTGCAACATGCGTAGCAGCCTTAACGCTTGATGTATTAATTATTACATTGTACTTGTAACTAATTCAATAAGGTGCTTAATGTAATAAAATTCGTACACATGATTATGTTGTCTCCCTGTCGAATGGAGAAAGGAGAATGGACACATACTTCATTGATACAGTACCGGTTGTTCTGCTTCCTCTCGTTTTGGTTTTACTTCAGGCTCTTCTAATATTCCTTGTCCAGACCATAACTGTTGAATAATGAAGATATTTAGATGAAAATAAAACAAACGTGCAACGCCCACCGTCGTTGTACAGTGTACTAAAATGGTATCCCTGTGGCCTTCAACTTAACTCAATCTAAACGGTCAAATAAGTGCAAAATTTTCAGTACAATCTCGTCCAGGCCATAGCTTGTGAACACAATACATGTACATTGATTGAATTAAAAAACATACCTGTATCAGCAATAGTTGGAGGGAAGAGCACTGTAATTACTTATAGTAGTAGGCCGCAAATTTTCAATATGAATTTGTCCTAGCTATATCCTTTGAACTCTTAACGATATATTGATTAAATTACAAATGTACCTATATCACACAAAGGTGGCGTGCAGTGCAATAAAGATAGGTCGTTTCGACTTTATTTCTACAAGTTCAGAAGTCAAATTGTGCAAAATATTAGGTAAAACCAATATTGGAATCTTTAAATCAACCACAGGTCATATGCAGTGCACCGTCATTGTTTTTCAACGAAGGAGAGACATGGTTTGGTAAAAAAAAGAAATCTATAGTTTCGTATCAAAATTTTCTGGCTTTTTACGATCAATATATTCAATTGAGCTCAGTTTATTTCGAAATATATAGACAATATGACTTTAATAATATCAATTTCTTTTGGTAAATTGATAATAAAAAAAGAATAAGTAAATAAAGAAACTGAATGAAAACAATGACTACCAAACGTTGGTGTGGGGACATACAGTTTAATGTACTGAAATTATTACGCTCGTCTCTTTAAATGAAGTTCGTATACAATTAACAAGTGTTATAGGTGAGATCAAATAGTGTTTTTTTATAGAATGTCATGTGGTACGTAGTATTGGGTATGATGACTGATTTAGTGTTGTCGCCTTGTTACGGGTACGCCCCCTAGTATTGGGTATGATGACATGGTGTGGTCTCCTTGTTACGGGCACGTCCCCCTAGTATTGGGTATGATGACATGGTGTGGTCGCCTTGTTACGGGCACGTCCCCCTAGTATTGGGTATGATGACTGATTTAGTGTTGTCGCCTTGTTACGGGTACGCTCCCTAGTATTGGGTATGATGACTGATCTGGTGTGGTCGCCTTGTTAAGGGTACGCCCCCTAGTATTGGGTATGATGACTGATCTGGTGTGGTCGCCTTGTTACGGGTACGTCACCTAGTATTGGGTATGATGACATGGTGTGGTCGCCTTGTTACGGGTACGTCACCTAGTATTGGGTATGATGACTGATTTAGTGTGGTCGCCTTGTTACGGGTACGTCCCCTAGTATTGGGTATGGTGACATGGTGTGGTCGCCTTGTTACGGGTACGTCACCTAGTATTGGGTATGATGACATGGTGTGGTCGCCTTGTTACGGGTACGTCACCTAGTATTGGGTATGATGACATGGTGTGGTCGCCTTGTTACGGGTACGTCCCCTAGTATTGGGTATGATGACTGATTTAGTGTGATCGCCTTGTTAGGGGTACGTCCCCCTAGTATTGGGTATGATGACTGATCTGGTGTGGTCTCCTTGTTACGGGTACGTCCCCTAGTATTGGGTATGATGACTGATTTAGTGTGGTCGCCTTGTTAAGGGTACGCCCCCTAGTATTGGGTATGATGACTGATCTGGTGTTGTCGCCTTGTTACGGGTACGTCACCTAGTATTGGGTATGATGACATGGTGTGGTCGCCTTGTTACGGGTACGTCACCTAGTATTGGGTATGATGACTGATTTAGTGTGATCGCCTTGTTAGGGGTACGTCCCCCTAGTATTGGGTATGATGACTGATCTGGTGTGGTCTCCTTGTTACGGGTACGTCCCCTAGTATTGGGTATGATGACTGATTTAGTGTGGTCGCCTTGTTACGGGTACGTCCCCTAGTATTGGCTATTATGACTGATTTAATGTGGTCGCCTTGTTACGGGTACGTCACCTAGTATTGGGTATGATGACTGATCTGGTGTGGTCGCCTTGTTACGGGTACGTCTCCTAGTATTGGGTATGATGTCGTCGCCTTGTCGCAGATTTAAGATTTAAGATATCTTTTACTGCAGTCGCAACAACCCGACAAGACCATAACATAACAGTTTGAACTTGTGTGCACATAACGTGATGTCGCGGTAAAATGTCTTGTTTTTGTCTCTTTGTCTTTTTTTGGTTGTACCAAAACGTGTTGTTTTTTATATCTTGATGAAATCATACATTATCGTAGTATTATATTGCCTTGTAGCTTTAATTTTGTGGTAGTATAAACAATTGTCACAACAACTGAAACACAAAGCACAACGGTTATTTTATTCTATTACAGAAGTACATTTTATGTACAATGCATACTGACATGTTGTTTTCTGTTCATTAATACTCACTACTATCACTAAAATAAGTAAACTTTGACCATACACATACAATAAAAGTCAATCAATGAATGAAGGAATGATCAAAGTACATGCTTTGTACAAATATACATTACTCTGTCAGTATTCTAAAACATTGTTCATTTAAACACATTACTTTCACTAAAATAAGTAAACTTTGACCATACACATACAATAAAAGTCAATCAATGAATGAAGGAATGATCAAAGTACATGCTTTGTACAAATATAAATTACGCTGTCAGTATTCTAAAACATTGTTCATTTATACACATTACTTTCACTAAAATAAGTAAACTTTGACCATACACAGATCCACCTCAACGTGACCTCCTGGAGCAGTCAATGAGAGAGATAGAACAGGCGGTCAATGTGGAGGGACACGACACCTGTATCTCATTCAGGAAAAGGAACAGGGAAGACCACTACATGTTCATTAGGGATACTGACTCGGGGTTTGTTTAACTTATGAAATAAAATACATTCTGGATCACTGGACATTGGACGAGAAGTGACTTATGACAATTTATCGGACAAGGAAAAACATAGAAGTATACCCTATATCTTTTGTAGTATATGAGGTTGATGAAAGTAACAAATAACCGATGTATATGAACCAGAAATGTCCACATTTTCTTTTTTGTCAAATGTTTTGACTCACTTCATAACAAAGGCTAAATGTATCTGCCCCATATCGCGCCTTGTTAAATAGAATTAATGCATTAAGAAAGGTGTCTACATATAATAAATTTGCGGTCAACACAAATAACATTGTTTGTGGCCACCTTGTTGCAGTTACAAGAGATAAGATTCCTGATAAGACACAAGGTACTTCTTTGGAGAAATGAAAATTCGACAACATGGTTAGTGTAACGGCAAAGAAGACCAATTTTATCACCGTAGCAACACCACCTTATGACAATCAATGACGACAGTGACATTGACAAGCCTTAATTTTGTTATGAATGGATCCTATTTAGTTATGACATCACATGGTCACATTATTTTAAGAAATAGAAAATGATACCGATGTTTTTTCATATAAAGAAATCAAATATATGACAACGGATAGTGTGTATCAAAATCGACCACTATGTTATTGATTGATTTTTAAGATATTACTGTTAGAATCACCTTTTCCGTGAGTGTTTACAGATCATTCCTACGTAAATAGTCAGTAAAATTACGTTGTTTTTTTTTCCGATTTTTTCAAAAACCCTCAAATTCAGAAACTACATATCATATACGATAAAAACCTGATATGTGTGTGTACATGTAGATTGCTGATATTGAAACCATCGACAGGGCATAAGTTTTCACATTTTCAGGGCCATCTGATAGAATATTTCTCTACATCTTGTTTACATTTAATGTATGTATCTGTGCTTAATAGGCTTTGTATAGAGAAGGATGAAACATCCACAGGATCGGGGCGTGAATTCCTAGACTTAAGAATTGACTGTATGGACAAAAGAGATATGATATCATCACTGCTAGTAATAATAGGACTATTCCATGAACATCAAAGACCTGACAGGGATCAATACATACAGGTACACATGGACAACGTACAGGACGGTAAGTACACCAGAGACAGGGACCAGTACATACAGGTACACATGGATAACGTACAGGACGGTAAGTACACCAGAGAGGGACCAGTACATACAGGTACACATGGACAACGTACAGGACGGTAAGTACACGAGAGACAGGGACCAGTACATACAGGTACACATGGACAACGTACAGGACGGTAAGTACACCAGAGACAGGGACCAGTACATACAGGTACACATGGACAACGTACAGGACGGTAAGTACACCAGAGACAGGGACCAGTACATACAGGTACACATGGACAACGTACAGGACGGTAAGTACACCAGAGACAGGGACCAGTATATACAGGTGCACATAGACAACGTACAGGACGGCAAGATACAGGTACGCATGGACAACGTACAGGACGGTAAGTACACCAGAGACAGGGACCAGTACATACAGGTACACATAGACAACGTACAGGACGGTAAGTACACCAAAGACAGGGACCAGTACATACAGGTACACATAGACAACGTACAGGACGGTAAGTACACCAAAGACAGGGACCAGTACATACAGATACACATGGACAACGTACAGGACGGTAAGTACACCAGAGACAGGGACCAGTACATACAGGTACACATGGACAACGTACAGGACGGTAAGTACACCAGAGACAGGGACCAGTACATACAGGTACACATGGACAACGTACAGGACGGTAAGTACACCAGAGACAGGGACCAGTATATACAGGTGCACATAGACAACGTACAGGACGGCAAGATACAGGTACGCATGGACAACGTACAGGACGGTAAGTACACCAGAGACAGGGACCAGTACATACAGGTACACATAGACAACGTACAGGACGGTAAGTACACCAAAGACAGGGACCAGTACATACAGGTACACATAGACAACGTACAGGACGGTAAGTACACCAAAGACAGGGACCAGTACATACAGATACACATGGACAACGTACAGGACGGTAAGTACACCAGACAGGGACCAGTACATACAGATACACATGGACAACGTACAGGACGGTAAGTACACCAGAGACAGGGACCAGTACATACAGGTACGCATGGACAACGTACAGGACGGCAAGTACACCAGAGACAGGGACCAGTACATACAGGTACACATGGACAACGTACAGGACGGTAAGTACACCAGAGACAGGGACCAGTACATACAGGTACACATGGACAACGTACAGGACGGTAAGTACACCAGAGACAGGGACCAGTACATACAGGTACACATGGACAACGTACAGGACGGTAAGTACACCAGAGACATGGACCAGTACATACAGGTACACATGGATATACATGGACATATTTCTGTTAAAGGATGACAGTTTAATCAATCTACGTGTTGCGTTTACATGGAATTCATTTAATTAATAAAAGTAGACTGTAAACAGCAGCATATAGTATGATATCGATGTCATGAATTTCAGATGTAAGATCATCATTTATGAAGATGTCATCCATAGCTTCAAATCTGAAAGATTTTCCATACGACTTTGATTCAATCACACACTACGGCCCGTACGAGTACGCTAAGAACGCCTCCCTCCCTACAATATCGTCCAACGTTTCTGGAATCAACTTTGGATACAGCGACAGACTAAGCTGGTACGACGTCCTTAAAGTGCGAGAATTGTATGGGTGTACAGGTAAGTGTTTTAGTTTTTTTTTTTTTTTTATAAATAACTGAAAATCGTGAAATCAAAATAAAAAATGGATAAATGAATAAAATTGTAATATCAGATTTTGACTGATATCTTAATACCAATGCATATATCATCTTTCTGATCTTATAATGTCAATCCTGGTGAAACACTCTCGAATATTTTCAGGTGATCAATCCGATACCTGTAGAAAAAAATCTTTCATTGCATGAGAAGGACAACCATTATGGTTTTTATTTGCTTAGTGAGTGTTTTATAACATATGTAGTTCATCAGCTTATTTCGGTATCTACAAAAGCTCTTCCCATGGTCTCAGTAATTAATGATATTGATATTTTTGCAATACATGTCTCTGCCCATGGTCTCAATAATTAATGATATTGATATTTTTGCAATACATGTCTCTTCCCATGGTCTCAGTAATTAATGATATTAATATTTTTGCAATACATGTCTCTGCCCATGGTCTCAATAATTAATGATATTGATATTTTTGCAATACATGTCTCTTCCCATGGTCTCAATAATTAATGATATTGATATTTTTGCAATACATGTCTCTGCCCATGGTCTCAATAATTAATGATATTGATATTTTTGCAATACATGTCTCTTCCCATGGTCTCAGTAATTAATGATATTGATATTTTTGCAATACATGTCTCTTCCCATGGTCTCAGTAATTAATGATATTGATATTTTTGCAATACATGTCTCTGCCCATGGTCTCAATAATTAATTATATTGGTATTTTCGCAATACATGTCTCTTCCCATGGTCTCAGTAATTAATTATATTGGTATTTTTGCAATACATGTCTCTTCCCATGGTCTCAGTAATTAATTATATTGGTATTTTCGCAATACATGTCTCTTCCCATGGTCTCAGTAATTAATTATATTGGTATTTTTGCAATACATGTCTCTGTCTATGGTCTTACTGATTAATGATTTTGGTATTTTTGTAACACATGTATATGTATTTTCTACAACCGTTTTGTCGCTAAACGTGCTCTATATTTTGTATATAAGTGTCAGTAGTACGAAGATTAGGCAATCAGTCATTTTAAAAGGTGAGTACGCATGTCAAGAGAGAACATTTTAATATAGTTATTACTACTGATTCGACTTAAGGTAAGTCTTTGGTTGATTCAAACACATTACATTGCTATAATTTTCAGCAACAGGAATGGGCACAAGTTATTACAACATTATTTAATTCCTCTCTCATAACAAATTACATTTACAACTTTCGGGCAAACAAAGAGGACATGAATTTAAGGCAAGTGACTGTTTTTAATGTGAATAAAAGGGTTTGTTATAAAACAGTTCAGTGTCAAAACACAACAGTTAATATTGGTATAGATATTTGTCCTAATGTATATACATTGTACATGTATATTTTGATATTGCACAGACATTGCCATAATTTTCAGTTAATATTGGTATAGATATTTGTCCATTATGTATATACCTCTCTACATGTATATTTTGATATTGCCAGACAGTAGCAGTTAATATTGGTATAGATATTTGTCCTAATGTATATACATTGTACATGTATATTTTGATATTGCCAGACAGTAGCAGTTAATATTGGTATAGATATTTGTCCTAATGTATATACATTGTACATGTATATTTTGATATTGCCAGACAGTAGCATTTAATTGAACATTATGATCTTTTGTGTTCTCTAAATGCTTCAGACCAAGACTTAATAAATACAATGTGGAACCTGTCAAGGCTGTTCGATGTTTCTGCATGATGTATAATAATGTGAGCTGTATGTTTACATCAGTTTAAATAACTATTTTTCATCTAGAATGACGATGCATATATATTGGCAATATTGCATTGCCCCTCGATAAACCAGGCCTGAAGAAGTCAGAGTATACATATAAAACTCTCCGTACTAGACACGAAACAATTTTTTGCTGTTATAAGCTAATTCTATAACTTCATAAAGTGTAGCACGTCTCTGAGCAATGTTTATGTCTAAAGTCATTGGTTGTTCGTCGGGAAATTTTACATTTGTTTAACAACATTTAACTATCATACTATATGTGGCATGTCTTGTCACTTTAAGTCTATCTGTCAAACGTATTACACAAGAAAAAGAAATATTCTAACTTGTGTTACAATAAGTTATAGATTATACTATATTACGATGGATACACAGTTTGGAATAAATTATTTTGTTATAGTTTAAAGGTGGTTACCGCCCATCCGATGAAAAATAGGCAAACTTTCAATATCTCCACATAATTAAGCATTGCTCTCATGTATTTATCCCTGTTTCCTTAACCCCTTATTGGATGCTCGGGTAACAAGCTGAACTAGGAACAGAGCGATCTCAAGCTTCCTTTAGACGTGTATCGAAATCGAGGCCACATCAACAAAACAAAGAATGTGTCAAAATGTGGGGCCGTAATTACAATATGAGTTTGATTAGATTTTATAATAAACATATGTTCACAACCGACACACTAAGGCGATAATTTTTAAGATAGATATATATGATAGATAATTATATAATAGGTATAATTATATCATGAAATATTACTTTACTTTGTAGCAGATTCAATTATACATTTCTGCAGTACCCGTCGTTTTCCATCGGCCATTTTTTTCAACATTACATGTGTTGCGTGAAAATCATAGTTGGATGCAAAGCTAAATGTTATCTATCTGGTCTGACAAGTTTGATCGGATAAGGATTTATTCATAAGTTAAGCATTTTCAGAGATCAGTGAAATATAATTTTCAGTTAAGCAAAAACCACAAACAAATTTACATTTGTACTTTGTTTAATCCTTCGATGGTGATCAAGACAACTAATTTAAAAGATTTGGGACCAGTATCAGTAACTGTCCCTTCTGTAACTCTACCCTGATGTCCCAGTCACAATGTCCCCTGATTACTTCATGTATCGTGTCATCGTTGATTACTTTATTAAATCGCGTTATCATATCATCCCGTCATGGAAAGATTTATAATGGTAAAATAAGATTTCTTGTAGTTGGAAGCGACAAATCAAGGATAAAGATTGATGGGTAAGTAATATAGCATATCATAATTTAACGGTGAAACTCCTTAGTTGTGTTTTTAGGTGCTGGTTGTCGGTTACCGATAGCAGTTATACATCATTCCTCATAACCTTCTATACTACAGCTAAGTCACTGAACAGGGTGACTGTTGGGAGACTGGCTGAAAGAGAGAGATCAAGACAGGCCGTTTTTGAAGGAAACTCCAACATCGTTATCTTGGTCAGAACCTATACATAAATTTATATATTGTTTTATGTCATATTTTAGTAGAAATCAAAACACCTAGGCCAAAACTTGACAAATTGTAAGTGTTTACATGATAAATCAGAACTAAGCTCTAAGGTATTGCAAACTCAATTCTTTTTCGCTGTAACACGATACATACCTCGTCCAGATTTCCATTGTTTTGTTTATCATAACAACCTCATGTTTCCATCCCTGTCTTTTGTTGACGTACTTTTTTACGTTGAAATATGTCTACAGCTGATAGATAATCTTACTTACTGGAATTCGATGACAGCAGGGTGATAAAGACTGGGGTAAGATTCATGGTCGACACATTTACCACAACACAAAATATGTTATTTTCTTTTGACAGTTTCATTATGCGATGCTTGCTGGTATAACTGTTGGTGTTTTTGTGGTGTCCCTAACATCACTGCCGAGTCTTAAAAGGACGAAACATCTGTATAAGGTCATTATGTCATTTGAGAATACGACATTACCCACATGCATTTACCAAGATTTCAATGGCAGGTGTCCCCGTTGAAGCAGATATCATGCCTTCGGAGATACTTTGTCTGTCTTACTACAATTATACTTTTTCAGGCGTCTCCATCTTAAGAGTTTCTTTCATTCGTTTCATCGTTTTGAGTCTAAATCAGGATTTGTGACATGTCTGTTACCTATGCTGGTTTTGTTTTCTAACATGGAGTTGATAAATAACGTTTTAGGTCAACATTGGGAAATTCCAATATATGTGACTGATTGCATCCATGGGATCGTTAAACAGCTGACATACATTTGAGAAGTGATACATTGTACTAGTCAGCAACAGTTCTTGATAGAGTCGATCCCAATAGATGTATTTACTTTTGAAGTATCTAGTGATAGTAACGACAATAATTGTAACGTTATTTGGTATTTGTTGGCCCTATATGATTTTGTCCCTCAACGAACCCAACGGATACTTACCACGACAACACGAGTTGTCTCTGTAAATAAAGTTAATGTAACTTGTTAACTACTGCGTTCAGTGTCGATACTGTCCTTATAAACGTCGATTGTGCCTTATAACATGACTTTTTATTGGTTTTATAGCTACGTTAAAAGCCAGGTCCATTTGGAGGCCGAGTCTCCTTGTAGTAGCTGATGATCACCTCACTGAACAAAATAAGGAAGACCCGTCGCATGCCGTCCAGAGCAATAAGTGTCTTGCCTAAGAACAAAACCACTACCGCATAAACCTGTCCATTTCTCAGCTTCTCTATGAAACACGTCGCCACTGGTAGGGAGCGTTGAATCACGCGCCTCGGATCTTCACCTAATGTTTAGTGGGCAAACGCCTAAACCAAACGAGATGTCGCAGCCCATAATGCGAACCGATTTGAAAAACTATTTTGCTAAACATTAACAAGAAAAGAGCAAACCAAAATATATTGCAACATAATCTACGCAATAGGGACTTGCTGTTGCCGTCAATTACAGATAACAGCGAAAATTATGAAGCATAGTTCTGTTACTAACTTACCCGAGAGAGACGGGAACTTCCTGGTTGTGTTTTAGGTCAAGATTTTATACGTATCTAGTAACAGCCAGTTGTGTGGAGAGATTGTGATTTTTAGTCATGATGTTTATATCCCTGTTGTTTGTCTTGTTGTTTGCCACGGACGCCATAGTAAATGCACAGGTAAGTCATATTTTCAAGATATTGAATTATATCCGATTGTCTATTTCTTGTGTGTCTATCCACGCTATTCAGAACAATTTACATTTCGAAAAGTGATATTTAAGATTAAAGAAGAAATTTTACATTTAGTAAATAATTCCAAGTGTCATATAATTACGTCACGATGGGTGACCGCTACTGATATGTTTCCGTGAGATTCAAACTGAAACGATGGGAGAAACACAACATTTAGAGTGTGAAGTTCTTTCATGAAAATATCGTCATCATTATTGTTTACAAATGTATCTCTAAGACAATATCAATAAGACGCCGTGAAAAAATTCTAGCTCATGAAAACATTCTTACGAATATAAAGACGTGACGGCTTTCTATTCATTGTTTTTGCTTCATTGTGTCAAATATTATTGATATTAAAAGGTTGATTGTATACTGCGGTACGGTTTTCTAGAATATGAGAACATGGATATGGTAACAGATTAAAGTTCTCATGTCGAGGCGTATTAATTCAATAAGGAACTGCACCAATGATACAGCTCCTGGAGATGATATAAATTATACTTTAGAAGGGGATAACACTGTCTCCTGATTTTTATGCCGTGATTAATGAAAATGTGTATATCATGCACATTAACAACACCGGTATACGGATACGGTAGTAGCTGTTATGAAAAGGATGTATTCAAATATATGTTTCAAAGATTTATTCTCGTTTATAACATCTCATAATCCTTTTAAGCAATTTCCAAAACATTCTGTTACCCGTTTGAACTTTTACAGGGTAGAGTTACCCACAACAACCGGCCATTGCCATGGAACGTCAGCGCACACATCAGGCCAGTCGGTTATGTTTTCAGTTCTAATATTGGTACGTGAACTCTTCTGAAATGGAGATGTTTTTAGACATGTCATTAGGACAAAACTGTATTTATAGAAATAAATGTGGGGGAATTTTGAAAGCAAATCGCTTCGTACAGTCTATCTTCGAAAAATACATTATCTACTTATTGTACATTTGATTTTTCATGACACAGGAAGTTTGTACTAGATGAGCGAATTTCGACTAGGACCAACTTATGAATTTCTTCACATTTCGTGGGGGTAGGGGTTGGGTTGGGGGAGGGGTGGAGGGGAGAAAATATAGCGCGGCAATTACACAGGAAACGTCGAGCTAATTGCAGTTTATATTAAAGTCTGTACAAACAAGTAACAAATGGGTTCCAGACTTGACCGTATTTTTTCGGTTTTCAGATTACGTAAAACTCGTTTTGATTTTGAGTTATGAGCAGTCTTCTTAACATTGTGAGACTTTCATAGAACCATTTCATGGCCGGAGACGATGACAATGCATATTCTAGGTTTGATGATTTAAGGACGAAATTGTGTAATTAAAGCTACATGTCACCATCAAGTATTGCTGGTAATATTAGATGCTGTTTGCTTAAAGAAATCATTCACTCCGTTATTGATTCTGACCATATACAGATAAACTTCAACGTGACCTCCTGGAGCAGTCAATGAGAGAGATAGAACAGGCGGTCAATGTGGAGGGACACGACACCTGTATCTCATTCAGGAAAAGGAGCAAGGAAGACCACTACGTGTACATTAGGGATACTGACTCGGGGTTTGTTTGACTTATGAAATAAAATACATTCTGGATATGCCTTATTGAATAAGAAATAAGTTATGATAATTCATCGGACAGACAGGAATATAGTTACGTTTGAAATCTGTCCTACACTGTGTGTAAATCTCTACCTAATAAAAGTAACAGCTGATATACATGGACAAAAAAATGTGAGCTTTTTTTATATAGACACGTATATATAAACATTTTCTCTCAAATCTCGACATGTTGGATTGAAAACAGCATTCCACGCGCGGGGAAATCTGATTTCACGGGAGGCAAGCCTTAAAACATAGTTTGTTTTTGCTTTGCGGTAGCTGCTATGATGGTAGACACAGGGTATTTCCATGTCTATTTGGAAAAAAATTAATAACATTTAAAGTTATGGAAAATAAAATCAGTATAAATTGATAAGGACGGTAGATAAATGATAACCTCCAAACATCCCCAGTGAAAATTCCGACTGACAATTGGTTTACCAGCACTGTCCTGTAAGTCACAAACTCACATAATCATCACTGAATGACTTATATGAATTCCATCCTTACGAGACACAGCCGTTTGCCTCCTTATAGAGTTTGCTGGTTGGCCCTATGTTTATATTACCTTCTAAAACCACGTGTTCTGATAAGTCGGATATTGGTACCGTATCTGTCTGCGGTACTGTAAACGAAACATGATCACGTTGTGACGATCGTTATGACGACAGGGACACTGAATAGCTTTAACTATTTATGGATAGAAGTATCCAATGGCAGTTTTGATATCACACAGTGACACAGTAATTTGAACAACAAAGATGGCAATCTTGTCAAAACTTCAAAAACCTAAAGGTTAAATTACATATAAAAAAATATAATCTTATCTTTAATTGCGTATATTCAAATCTATATAGGAGTAACACATTGCGACAAATATGATTGGTGTACAAGAAGCAGAAACCATCATACATGTACTCTGGGATTGCGATGAAAAGATAATTAAACAAACTTGGCAGCAGTTAATAATTTGATTCAAACTAAGATTGCATATTAATAGAAGTGAACTTAACAACGTCCAGTCAGTATTTCCCCTAAATTCTCGTCTATTATATACATTCAAAATACTATTTTAAATTCATCGCCGGAAAAATGTGGTTATATAAATATGAATGATATAAAAAATCTTTTATTACACCTATATGATATTGAACACCTTTGATGTTAAAAGTTTTCTTATGTTTACAGTGGAAGGTCGGAGTAACGCGTATACAAACTACATGCATGAACTAATATATGAAATTTCTTCATGAAAACTTATAATTGTAAATACACTGTACCTTGCACAGAGGAGGGGGTTAGTTGGTTAGACTGTTGTCGAAATTCTTGGCTTGGTGATTTGGTGGCGCAGATCGTGACTTTTATCACCATATTCATATATATATATCAATAGTATGTTCGTTGGATGCAAATGACTTGAATAGATATATGACGAATGAAGTAATAACGACAGTATTGACAGGTAAATTGTTAAATTGTCGTGGCAATCTTCCCTTTTATAAAGACACAATATATTGCATGTTACACCACATATATAGAACATAAAACGAAGACAGAGTTATAAAGTATAATGGTAAATTTAGGTGTCTCGATAATTCCTCCGGCCAATGGACACCGAAGGCCCTTTATAAGTTGTTGTTTTTCACGTATCGTCCGAAGAAACACCAAGAGGCCATAACATTGGACGTAGAACCTGTATATATTTTTGCACACCGAACCAGCTATAGTATACAGTGTATGAATTGTAAACTTATACCATTTTCCTACTTTCACTTGTTCATTACATAATATTAGATATACACAAGTACATGTAGTTAAATCATCTCAGACGGAAACATGGCATCAATCTATCCATGTTGGCAATTACGTATGTGACAATATACGTGTATAAAGAAATACATATGTTAAATTAGACAAGTCTCTGATTAGAGGTTATCTTAAAGTAATAAGGAGGGAAACTTTTTCGGGTGTATATATTTCATATAATCATATAACATGTTTGTCAACATTGCTTTCTAATTACGAATTTTTATCAGCAATGTATAAAATAATTTGGGAATACTTAACACATTAAAATCTAAAGATGGATGGGATATTTAGGAATATCATATTTAATTATTTCAATTACCCTGAAATCAATTAACTAAAATAAAGAAAAAATGCATCAATACCGGATATTTCTGCTCAATATAAGATAGTGATATGATATAGTTCGGTATATCTGAGTGTCATAAGGTTTGTGATATTCTCCAACTCTTTGTCACAAAATGTAGTGAAACCCTCGGCAGAGGACCAGATGTAACGATATTGTTTCTATCACTCGAAAGAAATTATTATTCAACATATATAACATGTACTGTCTGAAGCATTCCTGTTTATTAGGCTTTGTATAGAGAAGGATGAAACAGCCACAGGATCGAGTCGGGAGTACCTACACTTAAGAATTGACTGTATGGACAAAAGAGATATGATATCATCACTGCTAGTAATAATAGGACTATTCCATGAACATCAAAGACCTGACAGGGATCAGTACATACAGGTACACATGGACAACGTACAGGACGGTAAGTACACCAGAGACAGGGACCAGTACATACAGGTACACATGGACAACGTACAGGACGGTAAGTACACCAGACAGGGACCAGTACATACAGGTACACATGGACAACGTACAGGACGGTAAGTACACCAGACAGGGACCAGTACATACAGGTACACATGGACAATGTACAGGACGGTAAGTACACTAGACAGGGACCAGTACATACAGGTACACATGGACAACGTACAGGACGGTAAGTACACCAGAGACAGGGAACAGTACATACAGGTACACATGGACAACGTACAGGACGGTAAGTACACCAGACAGGGACCAGTACATACAGGTACACATGGACAACGTACAGGACGGTAAGTACACGAGAGACAGGGAACAGTACATACAGGTACACATGGACAACGTACAGGACGGTAAGTACACCAGACAGGGACCAGTACATACAGGTACACATGGACAACGTACAGGACGGTAAGTACACGAGAGACAGGGAACAGTACATACAGGTACACATGGACAACATACAGGACGGTAAGTACACCAGAGACAGGGACTAGTACATACAGGTACACATGGACAACGTACAGGACGGTAAGTACACCAGAGATAGGGACCTGTACATACAGGTACACATGGATAACGTACAGGACGGTAAGTACACCGGAGAGGGACCAGTACATACAGGTACAAATGGACAACGTACAGGACGGTAAGTACACCAGAGACAGGGACCAGTACATACAGGTACACATGGACAACGTACAGGACGGTAAGTACACCAGAGACAGGGACCAGTACATACAGGTACACATCGACAACGTACAGGACGGTAAGTACACCAGAGACAGGGACCAATACATACAGGTACACATGGACAACGTACAGGACGGTAAGTACACCAGAGACAGGGATCAGTACATACAGGTACACATGGACAACGTACAGGACGGTAAGTACACCAGAGATAGGGACCAGTACATACAGGTACACATGGACAACGTACAGGACGGTAAGTACACCAGAGACAGGGACCAGTACATACAGGTGCACATGGACAACGTACAGGACGGTAAGTACACCAGAGACAGGGACCAGTACATACAGGTACACATGGACAACGTACAGGACGGTAAGTACACGAGAGACAGGGAACAGTACATACAGGTACACATGGAAAACGTACAGGACGGTAAGTACACGAGAGACAGGGAACAGTACATACAGGTACACATGGACAACGTACAGGACGGTAAGTAGGATTGTACTAAATCAACCTAAATGTGAAGGAAACATGGGGTTCATTTCAATGCTTTATAATTGTATATATATGTATATACTGTTATCTTGATGTCATATACATGTACATTATATCTGTTATTAATTTCAGATGCACGAAATGCCTTTAACAAGATACCATTCACGAATTCTAGTCCGCTTGGTTTCCGGTATGACTTTGATTCAATCACACACTACGGCCCGTACGAGTACGCTAAGAACGCCTCCCTCCCTACAATATCGTCCAACGTTTCTGGAATCAACTTTGGATACAGCGACAGACTAAGCTGGTACGACGTTCTTAAAGTGCGAGCATTGTACGGATGTACAGGTATAAGCATCTTAATTTGTTAAAATAATTAAAACGCCATATTAGATATTTTTTTCTAAATTAGTTTTTAGTCCATATATAAAAAATTCAATTTTTGGTTTACTTTATTACCTTTCTTAAATATACCTAGATATTTGATTGATAAAGGATATTATTGTATGACACCCAATAGAATACAGAATATGAATGATGAATTAATCTGTTTACATTTACATTGTGGAGCTACTAAGTAAGTGTATATCATATATTGGTATGTTTCTTACCACCTTTTGTCCTCTGAAGGACAGAACTTTGGTTAAATTAATGGAAATTGAGCACAATCTGTGTCGAGTTGTCGGAATATGAGTGAATGGAAATTGAGCACATGTTGTATCCTGTTGTTGGTTCATGATTATGGAAATTGAGCTCACTGTCATGAGTTGTTGGTACATGAGTTAATGGAAATTGAGCACATTATGTATTAAGTTGTTGATACATGAGTTAATGGGCATTGAGCTCACTGTCATGAGTTGTTGATACATGAGTTAATGGGAATTGAGCTCACTGTCATGAGTTGTTGATACATGAGTTTATGGAAATAGAGCACATTATGTATTAAGTTGTTGATACATGAGTTAATGGGAATTGAGCTCACTGTCATGAGTTGTTGATACATGAGTTAATGGGAATTGAGCTCACTGTCATGAGTTGTTGATACATGAGTTAATGGGAATTGAGCACACTCTGTATTGAGTTGTTGATACATGAGTTAATGGGAATTGAGCACACTCTGTATTGAGTTGTTGATACATGAGTTAATGGGAATTGAGCACACTCTGTATTGAGTTGTTGATACATGAGTTAATGGGAATTGAGCTCACTGTCATGAGTTGTTGATACATGAGTTAATTGGAATTGAGCTCACTGTCATGAGTTGTTGATACATGAATTAATAGGAATTGAGCTCACTGTCATGAGTTGTTGATACATGAGTTAATGGGAATTGAGTTCACTGTCATGAGTTGTTGATACATGAGTTAATGGGAACTGAGCTCACTGTCATGAGTTGTTGATACATGAGTTTATGGAAATAGAGCACATTATGTATTAAGTTGTTGATACATGAGTTAATGGGAATTGAGCTCACTGTCATGAGTTGTTGATACATGAGTTTATGGAAATAGAGCACATTATGTATTAAGTTGTTGATACATGAGTTAATGGGCATTGAGCTCACTGTCATGAGTTGTTGATACATGAGTTAATGGGAATTGAGCACACTCTGTATTGAGTTGTTGATACATGAGTTAATGGGAATTGAGCACACTCTGTATTGAGTTGTTGATACATGAATTAATGGGAATTGAGCACACTCTGTATTGAGTTGTTGATACATGAGTTAATGGGAATTGAGCACACTCTGTATTGAGTTGTCAACACAATCTTATGCTTGACAATTGGCTTTGTTTCAAATTTTTAACACAATTTTGCACAATCTTACAACACAATCTTTTTTTATCTTACTTTTACACAATCTTACAATACAATCTTACAACACAATCTTACATCACAATCTTACAACACAATCTTACAACAATCTTACAACACAATCTTACAGAACAATCTTACAACACAATCTTACAACACAATCTTACAGAACAATCTTACAACACAATCTTACAACACAATCTTACAATACAATCTTACAGCACAATCTTACAATACAATCTTACAATACAATCTTACAACACAATCTTACAATACACATTCTTTTGGCAACTAGTTTCCCAGGTCCTGTTCTCTTCGATTTTGAATTTGAATGCTAAATTCTTATAAAGATTTTAGTAGTGAACCACACTGCGTCAAATAAAGGGGACCACCCTGAAGAAATGATTTAAACTTTTTTATCTAAAATATCATGTATTGAATTATTGTACTGAGATATCACGCAATCGTGTAATAGAATCGGAAACCTGTTCGTACCTTATTTGTTTGGCATAAAAGACGTGGATAGTTGCTATGGGACGTTTATGCCTATAAATATGGATTAATGAAAAACGTGTACATGCATGTTCTTTAATGGTGATATATATATAACACAGTAGAGGCCAAAACTTATTGGCGCATATGGGTTCTGATTTCTGTCTCACAATATCGTGTGAACTGCCACATAAATTCTTAACCAAACGATGCCAGTAAAGATCTCTGCAACGAATGGAAACAGCAAACATTTTAATTTCCAAGATGAGATATTCACTAGGGTTTTATTTCTACATATATCTAAGTTTCTGTACTCACCATTAGCTCCCGTTCTGCGCCTTATTTGCTCATCATACCAAATTACACGTTCGTTATACCTAACACGTGGTCCCTTGTTCAGGTAGACCTCTCTACCATCATCAGTTTTGTTTCCACGGAATCTCGATTATTAATATAACCTTTTATCCTTTTTCATATTATTTTTGCCAGTGGGAATTCTGTTTAATTGACGAACGAGAGCTTCTTGCCGGTAAGGGTCATATTTCACTATTTTGATAGTTGTTCGTAAGAAACAAAACATTGTACATGTACTATATGTATAATCAAATAAGTCTATGTGAGCGAAAATATATTGAAACTGTTTTATGATACGTATACCTTATCTTGAAGGTTATAAGATGTTTGAAGGACATGCGACCAATGCATTTACACAGCCATCTCCAGCTGACCACTACCCACAGTGGTTCGAGAGTTCGGAACATCATCTTTATAATCATGATCAACGATGCAGCAAGGAAACTTCAGGTGAGCCTTATAATGTATTGTAATTTAAAAGCATTATGTAAGACTGTTTCCGTTTTATATTAAAACTTTGACGAATATGTGCAGATCAGTACTTGGTGACAATCCTACACAACGCTACCCTGATGTCTTCGTTCACGATACCCCCTGGTAACTTCTGTGTCAGTGTGGATTACTGTATTGCGTCTTGTTACCATGACAGCCAGTCCTATATTGGCCTGACAACTGACGGAGGGATCTCCCTGGAAGACATGAAAAGTTCAGGCTCACAAGGTCATTGGGAGACAGCTCTCATGAACGTCGATGCAGACCAAGGCTGGCGGGTAAGCAACGCTAACTATCAAGTTCCTTTCAGGTTCTGGTTGTCCGTGGATTAAGATCTTCCTTCCCGATTCATCTTTTTTAATGAAAAAAAAACTGATTTCAGAAGTGAAATGTTACGGCATTGTAAGAACTTTCTATGTGATTTATCACAATAGACATTTAAGGAGTAAGTGGGAGACAGCCTAACCTAAACAGATGTTATAATGAGGTATGTTCGAATCTATTTCAGTTAAACGTCACTGCGCATGTTTTGTCGGGAGGTGATTTGCTAGCCCTGGACAAAGTCATTGTGCTCTCCGGACAGTGTGCCTAGTGTGAAGTGGACCACAAATACATAGCAGCTTGATAGATCATAAACAGCCTGTTTAAAAAAATCCTGAACTTTTTATTCTGTAAGGATCAAGAATCATCGGAGAAAACAAATACATATGAAATATTCACACATGGTTTTTAAATTTCATTGTAAATTCCTTAAAATAAAACTGTTTGAATTTTAGTTGATATCTGTAATTGTTTCCGTTATCACTTGAAGTCGTTTTTCTTCATTTTCAAATCTTAAAATGACGGAAATGAAATGTTTTCTTTTTAAAGTTTAAGTTTCTGTTACGGCGTCTTTCTACTTATGGAACATTACAGTCCATCGTGATTGACACTTACGGATTTTTTTTTTTTTTTACATTGGACAGAATAAGGCCAAACTTTCAAAGCCTTTAAATCTTTGTTTCTAGTCCAAATACATCATCATGACGTATACGTCATCATTACGTCACGAGAGTTTCCCGTGGTAACTACGGAGTGGACAGGGACTGGAGGTGACAAACACGTCATCCACAGCCTTCGTGGTCGTCAATAGCCGATCTTATCCATAGCTACACCTGACAAATTTAACGTCCAACCGTTAAAGCCACGTGACTTTGAGATGATGATAAAGCTAAGAGTACTGTTTCCCCTTCTAGATGTTGACTTCTTTCAATCACTTTGGATTTTCTTCAGTCGTTCCCTAGGCTTAACATTTTAGGCTCTTAGCATCACTGGCGAGTTCTAGAAGGACGAAACAGCTGTTAATGCAGTTTAATTCATTGTTTGGCTCTTCTGTATCTAGATATAGATTATTCAAAGGTGCTTTTCGCTTGAGTGTCTTTTGTACAATGTTTAAAACATTTAAACAAGATCATGATATGAAAGAAACACTTCCAAAAGTTATCTGCCGCTGATCGGGGTATCTCAGTCGAGGGCTAAGATCCTGTAACATACTAGCCCCGGTTGGATTATGTTGCAGGATCTTAGCCCTCAACTGAGATACCCCGATCTCGCTCAGTTACAAGTAATAGATTTTTTTCTCGCACCTACTACTCTGAAATTTATTCAACATTTCATCGGAGTATGGCGTATCCCGTTGGAGCCTCAAACTACCAACACAGCGTTAACAATGTAGACCGCACAAAAACTACGATTCATTTTACAGTGATAATCTAATTTAATCTACAACATCAGAAATTTAACAGCATCAAAAAATACAAAGTACAGATAATAAAAAGCAGATAGTAAATTTTGAACCGATTTCTTTGATAGATATATATATATACATTACTCACTTCCGGTGTCAATGGCGACGGTCGCTATTGTTCTTCGCTCCCAGTAAGAGGGGGTACTTTTCATGTTTAAAGTTATTTAAGTACATCAAACAAAGGACAATTGTTTTGGAATAGGGTAATACTAACCATTTCCGCTTCCATATAAAATATTTTTAATCGTCCATATTTACAATCATGCCTACTGGACAGGAAGTAAAAAATAACAGGACGCTGACAACGGATCATGGAAGAGTAACCGATTGTCATCAGCAAAGGGAAACAAAGACAAAAGTAAGGCAGCGGGATCATTTACTTCTCCGTGGACAGAGGAGCGTGCGTGGACATGCAGAATCTGTGATAATGTGTTTGAGGACCAGAGCTCCAAAATTTTGGAATGCCAATGTTGCAAAAGCCACTTCTGCACCAAATGCCTGGACATTGGAGATAGTGAATATCGTCTGCTGACCAAATCAAACGCTGTGTGGTTCAGTGCTCCGTGCCGTGTGCACATAGAAAAAATATCAACAATGATAAACAAATTCAGCAGAAATGCAAGGAAAACAATGATAGAGTTGAAAAGAGGATTTCAACAATTGAGGATGAACTCAAAAATAAATTCGATGAACAAAAAGTCAGGGACATCGTAAGAGAAGAACTGGGTACAGGAACAAAACAAGACTCTTCTCTGGAACCAACAATACAACCAAATAAAAACACAGGAAGTTCTCACAGAACAGATAGAAAGAAAACAACATGTTTCAACGAACCCACCAATTAAAAGGCCAATATTGGTAGCATTTGGAACTACAGAAGATAAAAAAACTGTTCTTCCAAAACATAAGCGAGCTGCAAAAGCATAAAAACTATAAATTGTTCAAAATCAGCAACGACCTCACAAAGAATGAAAGAGAAAAGGAAGCATCGCTTCGAGAGGAGGCAAAACGAATGGAACAAGAACCACCTCAGTCGGGGAAATGTGTGTTCCGCGTATGGGGGCCACCCTGGAACTGAAAAATTGTACGGCAAACAAAAAAAAACAAAAAACAAAAAACAAAAAACTAAAAAAAAGAAAAAAGAAAATTAAACTCAAAAGGAAATAAGATCAGCGAAACCCCCAGGATCGTTTAAAATGTCATTACACGAATGCCGATAGCTTACCAAATAAATCGCACGAGTTAACATTTAGAGCAGTAGATAATAAACCTTATGTAATTGGAATTACAGAAATGTACCCAAAAATGCTCGATATCTGCATCAGAAGTCTGAATTTATTATCACTGGTTATGATCTAGTTATGAATGATAAAAACAAAAACTGTCACAGGGAGAAGTAAACATAGGAAATATATTCAAGGAAAGCTTTTGGATGAAAATCAATTTGACGGATGGGAATTGTTTATTAATTGGATGCCTATATAAAGGCCCTAATTCCAGTACAGAAAATGTAGCGGAGTTAAATTAATTACAACCGTTTCATCAAACCCAACCTATAGTCATTTGTTATTAATGGGAGATATCAACATGCCAAAAATAAACAGGGATATCTGGACATCCAACAACGATGAAGGAGAAAACTTTATAGAATGCTTAAGAGATAACTACTTGTACCAGCATGTAAGAGAACCCACTAGGTACAGAAAGCAAAACGAACCAAGCATCTCGGACCTTCTTATAACTAACGGAGATGAAATAATAAGATATTTCCTATGATAGCTCGATTGGAAAAAGCGATCATTTGGTACTTGTATTTGATTTCTTTTGTAAAACACTACAGTCAGTCAATGAAACACCAAGTTTGAGGTACAACAAGGGAGACTACAACAGTATGAGAGGAGATATGCCAGATGACTGGGGAGGAATCCTGCATGGAACTAGAGCAGAAATGTACAACAAATTCACTGATTTCATTACAAAAAATCCGAACAATATATTCCAAACAGAAATCTAATAGCCTCCTGAGAAACAAGGACAAAATGCCATTAAAGGAATCAATTCTTAAAAAGATTAACAAAAAACACAAAGCATGGCAACGTTACAAGGAAACTAAATTGGACGATAAGTTCAAGGAATATGCTAAAATTAGAAACCAACTCAAATGGGAAATCAGAAAATCCAAAATAGAGTTTGAGAAAAAAATTGCTGAAAACATTAAAGACCAACCTAAGAACTTTTGGAAATATGTCAACTCCAAAAGAAAGGTCAAAAGTGGAATTTCGGACCTTAAGGGTCTGAACGGAGACGATGATAAAACTGCAGTGAGACATAGGGACAAAGCTGATGTTCTCGCAAAGTTCTTCAGCAGTGTTTTTACCCAAGAACCTCCAGGAGACCTACCAGAATTCAACAATAGGGACATAGTCCATCCGTTTGAGGATATAAATTGCACACCAGTAAAAGTTGAAAAAATTATCAGATTTAAAAGAAAACAAATCTCAAGGAACCGACATGATGCACCCCAGAATCTTAAAAGAACTTTGGAAACATCTGTCGGAAATATTTAATAAATCACTACAGGAAGGTAAATCACCAGAAGGTTGGAAAGAGGCAAATATAACTGCTATTTTCAAAACAAGCTCAAAATCAGAAGCAGGAAACTACAGTCAGTTTAACTAGTGTAGTAGGAAAAACGCTTAATTAGTGAGGGACAGCATTGTAAACCGTATGGACAAGAATAACCTACTAAGCGATAAACAATTTCCAGAAGATCCACACAATTACAACTACTAATGGTTTTGGAAGAATGGACAGAAATGATTGATAACGGCGACCAACTGGATGTTGTATACATGGACTTTATGAAAGCTTTTGACAAAGTCCCGCATCGCCGATTATTAAGAAAATTAAAAGGATATGGTGTAAGTGATCAGGTCGCCAAATGGATAAAAGACTTCCTTAATAACAGATGTCAAAGAGTATTAGTGAATGAAGAATCGTCTATGCCTTACCCGGTAGTAAGTGGTATACCACAGGGAAGCGTGTTGGAACAAATTTTGTTTGTAGTCTTTATTAATGATTTACCCGAAATTACAAAATCTAAATCTCCACTTTTTGCAGATGATACTAAATTATACAGAAAAATCACAGATGATAAAGATAAGGACATTCTGCAAAGTGATCTAAACAAACTTGAACAATGGTAATCAAAATGGCTACTCAAGTTTCACCCGAACAAGTGTAAGGTACTTTTAATTAACTCGACAGAAAAAAGGAAGTATTACATGACAGGAACAATCAGTGAACAAACAGAACTGGAGAATATAACATCTGAAAAAGACATTGGAGTAACAGTGGATGAAAATCTAAACTTTAGAACTCATATCCAGTTAGGAGTAAACAAAGCTAATAGTATTCTTGGATTAATCAGAAGAACGTTCACATATCTAGATGAAAAGATGTTTAAACTATTGTTTAAGGCACTTGTAAGACCCCACCTAGAATACGCCTCAAGTGTATGGAGTCCATATAGGATGATGGATATCGAGTTGATAGAAAACGTCCAGAGGAGGGCCACAACTGATACCTGGTTTTAAAGAACAGTTATATCCTGAACGCAGAGACTAAAACTGCCAACTTTGGAACACCGACGGAAAAAAGGAGATCTAATCAATGTATTCAAGACACTGAAAATTATTTATGATAAACGCGTTACAACCGGTATATTTCAACTGGACTCTGAAAGTTAAACAAGGGGAAACTCATTAAAAATATATATAAAAAAAAACGGTTTATGCGTGGAACAATCTGCTGCAGCATGTTATAGATGCAGAGGTTGTAGAGAATTTCGAAATACTACTAGATAACCACTAAAGAATAACTTTATTTATATGGACATATTAATTGTACGCCAGAAGTATATCAAA